ATCAACACATGGGAGCCACTCACGAGTGCCTAAAAACTGGAGATCTGTCCCTGATGCTGGCGAGCTGCCGACACAAAACACCATTCACTGTTGCCCTTCTCGAAATTCATGCCATGATGATGACATGATTTTCCTCTTTCAGATTTTTCCGAAATTCTGCTTCAAGGATAACTTTGTCTTCCCTGGCTGCGGCACGAGTGCTGAGCCTTTTCTACGTTAAAGGCACATCCCGCATTTTGCCTAATATGCAGATACCTTCCGAGGAGTTCTGGAAGCACAACGGGTGTACTACCTTGGCGGCTCGAAAGTACCTTACAAAGAAGCGAGGTGTTCGTGACGAAGGGAATACTTCTCCCACCTACCATTCACTTCTACGCTAAACGTAGTCGTTTTGTGCCATGGCTTTGAGAGAAGATAAGAGCGGTACGTACGTACTGGTGGCGCAATTAGCGCCTAAGCGTGGGGTGCGCGTCAAGTCTCGCCCGGGTCAAGAATTCTGCCCATAACTCAGCATTTTTGAATTCCGCCCATAACTCAGCATTTTTAAGGTGACCTTCAGAGCGTGGACTGCAGCCTCAAGGAATCAAGCCGCTTCCTGGGGTGAAATGCCGGACTAAAGCCATCCCTCAGAAAACTTAGACTTGAACCTGGCACAGATTTCGAAAAATGGAGCAGCAAAGGTAGATGGCACACAACATTCAAATTGTAAGCAAGTCGTACTTGTCAACAAGGAGCTCCTGTAGGTAAAGACGTGAGCTCCTTTATCAAGGGTTCCGTCCGGTGCAATATTATAGACGAACTTTATGCCCTGGAATTCGAAGCTTCTTGTATTTTGAAAGATTTTCACCAAGCGAAGAAAAATTCAGATTGGGCTGACTTGAGTAGGCTTCTCTACAACCACATCAACTGCGATTGTAATGCACTTCAACAGCTGGATGGTGAGACGAAGGGCATCAGGTATTGTTATTTGAAGAAATGCTGCAGTACAAACAATATCAGGAGTAAGACAGAATCGTAAGCATAAACGCTACCGTCTTTTTCGTTAATCGAGTTATAGTACTGTGGGAGAGTTTCCATGATCGAAAGGTTGGGACTTTGTGCAGCAAGCTAAAACGTGCTGTTAATTCCCAACTGTGAAAAATGTGTGAAAAAAGAATTATTTCCACACCGTCGGTTGCGTCAAACGCGAGTAATCACAGTCTGCACCATTGATAGTTATCCTACCGTGGCCTCCCAATTCACGTGGCAGCAAAGCACCTGGAACGGAAAATGCAG